GTCCGGTACGGGCGTGACACTGAGGGTTGCGATCCGTTGCCGGACATGAAAAAAGACAAAAAGGGAAAAAAAAAAAAAAAGCATCTTTATTAGTTATAGATTTTGTGGTTTGAGGGAACTCTGATTTAGGATAATCAAGGTTTACTAAGTTAAGTAAAGCTAAAAAAAATAATGTTCAGGAGATACAGTATTAGCCACAATTTCAAGGGTAGGTAAACACTTCTAATGTTCACTGTGGATGCCTTTGAGCTCTGTAAGTAGCACACGTGCATCTCCACATTCTTCCCAGCAATGATCGTCCATCTCAAAGAAGCTGTACACGGAAGGCAGAAATCTAGATTCAGAACAGAGAAACCCTAAACAGTCAGCTTGTGTCCAAGATGCTGCCAATGTTATTATTTCATTAATAATGCATTTTTGGTTGTCAAAAACAATCAGCATTGTAGTTCTTTCCTAGAAACTGTTTGTTATAAATCACTTTGCAGCAGTACATTATTTTGCAGAGAATGAAAAGGAAAACCATTTCCTGTCAGCTGGAATTAACAGTCAGGAAACGATAGTCTTTCAGAAAGGGAAATAGGTAAATTAGCATATGGAAATATGTTCTAAAACATCAGCCTACACTTGTTGACATAGAAAAATGAACCCTGTGTATTCAAGCACAGAGATTAAAATTACTTGAAACATTTCCTAATTGTTGTTGTTGGTTAATAAGAAAGTACTGTTTGAGTAATGTCAAGTTGTGGTTGTGGTGGTTTTCAATTTCAGCTGGGGTTTGTACCACATGTAAAATAGATATTTCAAGAGCAGTCCTCACAAGAAATCAGAATCATTTAAATCAGACCACAATGTCATAACAATATGTTAATCCTATTCTCAGGCCTTTTAAAATCCTACTGTCTACCAGTTGCAATGAGACTTCAATTTGCACAGGATGCTTATTGACGTAGGACGGAGGGAGACAACGCAACCTGCTTGTGGGCAGGGTGCCCACTGCCTTCTTGGCAAAAGGCAAGGTGCGGACTGGCCTTCGTTGTGACAAGAGCATGAGAAGACACCTGTCCTTGGGGATAAATGAGGCAAAGGTGTGCTCACTTCCCAGCTGCCCTTGTTTTCTCATGAGATGAAAATCTCCCCAATTTGGGCACCAATTTCTGGCCCTGACCCCCAGCCAAAGTAGACAGGCCTGTATGGGGTCCAGTTAGCTAGGCTAATTTCACATTCACCTAAAGGAAAACATTAAGTAATCACTTGTTAACACTTGTCTGCAGGAATGGTTGAGAAGTCACGGCTGAGGTATCTGCTAGGATTGTTTATGGAACGGGGTACCCAGGCTATGGCTGCAGTGCACTTAGTGATTCACAGTGGCTCCTGGAACTCGGACCAATTACGCTGCACCAGCCTTTTGTATGAGTAATGAAAGAAACACGTCTGCCCTTGACCTGTCTGGGGCAGTTACAGACCCAGTCTTACCATGGAGGCACTTGAGTTGTGGCTTCAAAAAAATTTATAAACAGTTGAGAGGGTGGATGACGTCCCCAGCTCAAGAGTTACAACAGGGTGGCTGCATTCACTCGCTCCTGTCATTGCTGCAGAACTTAAAATTATTTAGTTCAGACTGAAGTCCTCACTGGAGAGAGAGAAGAGTGTAAGCACGAAAGACACCATACCTCCATGTCTTGTGAACAGTTCGAAGCACAAGTCAGGGGAGGACGTGGCTTGCTCCCAGGTGACCCTATGTCACGCCACTGCTGACCTCAAGAGAGAGACTCTTTCATTACTAGGGGCCTGACTACATTGTCAATGGGTTCTTCCGGTTATTCATTGCGGCTTCCGGTTGAAGAGCCAGAACAGGAGCAGTTAGCCCAACGCCTGCATGCAGCAGGCACTCAACACATTTTAGCTGTGGTGGCCGTGGGAGGTGTGGCCGGGTTCTGCAGGAGTGTGGGGAGGCAGCCATTGGCACACCGTGGACGGAGTGTGGACAGGAAGGGCAAGCTGGGGGAGCAGAAGACAGAAGGCCCTTTCCTCATGGGAGGTGGAGGCATTGCCTGTATTTTGTTTGTTTTCTTACAAAACTGGACTTTGTCTAGCTCCATGAAACCACTAGAAGAGGCATCTCCGCCTGCCCCGAGATGGATACCAGGCACTAACCATCCAGAGGGTGTCTCATAACTTGTCCTGCCTCTGTCTCCCACCCTTGGGCACCCGGCCTCATCATTCCTGGTATGAGTTAGCTTCCTCCAGACTATAACGCTCTGTTCCATCCACAGCTAGCTCCAGGAGCGGCATTGATGATCCCCACAGCTTGGCCGATCCTCTGCATCCCACTCTCCAGAAGCTCCCCGGGGGTGGGCTGCCCTCTCCCCACTGCTGGTCGGATCATCCTGGGTTCTCAGGTCCCACAGCGAATGCTCCATGGCCTTGACAGAGCCCACAGGGACCTAACATTGATGCCCAAGAGGGAACTCGATGCAGAGTTTGCTGATGTCAGACTCCATGACCAACTGGTGGGGACAAGGATGGAAGCAGTTCCCTGGAGTCACAGCCCTGCTTCTCCTCTTCTCTCCAGAAACATGCTGCTCTGGCCTCAGCGTCTAAGTGTGGAGCTTCTGGGCAGCCAGAGGGCTTCTTCCCCTCCACCCAGGGACCATGTGTGCTCCCCAGAGGCGTGACTGCAGAGCAGACCCTGCTTCCTCTTACCTGCCTGTTCCCTGGAAGCAAATGAAAATATGAAAATCTTACCCAGAAGAGGTGGGTTGGCCATAATATTGTCAAGCTTGCACGTTTTATACAGAAACTAATGTGATGACTGCCCTGACCACATGAGGACCAGGTCCAGCTTCACCTGTGAGGTGAAGATTCTGTACCATTTCCTAAATCTCTGGGGTCGGTATGGACTCTACCAGCAACAAAGT